ACACACACACAGACAACCTCTCGTCAATATGCATTTTCGCATTGCATTGCTGCAAAAAACGCATAAAAACCATGTTTTAGCGCAAGTAGTAATATTTGGAGAGAAGTTATTTTGAAAGATCTGAAAAATCCCAAAGTTTTGTGATTTCGCAGCATCTGTTCCTTTAATTTCCATGGGTCATTAGATAGTCGATTGTAATAACTCACAAGAATTTAGTGATTTCAGGCTGTGTTGGCTCTGGATGTACGTTGACGGTGCAATGTGCTGGCAATGACTGTGCTGCTCCACCGGTCGTGTTACCACCTTTACCGCCACCGGTTTACGTGCCTCCGCCACCGCCACCGCCTCCTCCACCACCGCCACCTCCGCCACCCCCGCCACCTGCACCTCCACCAATAGAGATCCCTCTTCCACCCCCACCACCATACGTTATTTATCCACCACCCCCGCCACCACCACCTCCACCGCAAAGAATCTACCTACCCGCTCCACCTCCGCCACCACCTCCACCACCGAAAATCGTTGTTGTGCCTGCCCCTCCACCACCTCCTCCTCCACCACCAGTTCCTCGATGCACAGGCGTATGTGTGAAGAGTGTCTGCTTGGCTGGAAGAGGAGTATGTTGACGATCATACAACTGTGCGAATTTTCTTCCTCCAATTGACTTTACGCAGATGTTTATCAAAAAATAAAAAGAAAATGATTTCGTGCAAGCTAGAATGTACTGCTGCATCGGTAAATGGATACTGTGGCGTCACAGGCGCGACAGTGACGCACATTGGCAATACACGATCATAACATCGAAATAAGGGAAAAGTCATCATGGATTGTGCTACAGCGCAGTGTCCAACATCTGGCACGAAATCAAACGTCACTTGAAATAGCTTTAGTAGTTGAAGGTCGAATAAGTGCTAAATGAACATAGGCAGAGATATCAGAGTGTGAATACAGTCGACAGTATGGAGGATGAGTAAATACATAAAGCTCAGAAGCGAGCAGAAATGAGGTGTTACAGAACATCCGTTGGCAACGAACGCTTCAATGAAATAACAGCTGAACAAAGGTATCGAAGTGTTACTGTAACTGTCTCTCGACGTGATGGATGAATTTGAAATTCTGGAGATCCTAAGCGGTTAATTCATTACATATCTTTGCATGCGGCTGATGATAAAGACCTTGTCTCTATGCACTGAAATCTTCTCAGCGTCCCACCTCTACTTGCTAGGCGACCGTTCCCATCAAGCACCAAACCCGTCGGGAAAAAAAGCTATTAGTTCTTGTGCGATTCAAAGTCCAACAGGCATCGCAAACAGTGCTGCACTGAAGTAATGCAGCGAATATTTGCTTCCTATTCA